CGAGGAGAACCTGAAATACCTCCCAAAGTTTAGACCTGAGCGAAAAGCCGCTGCTGACATATCGGGCTTTGGTTTCAAGCTGACGTTTGAAAGAAACGTTGTGTTTTTACTTTATAATCTACTTGGATTACAACAACAAAGGCCGAACGTTTGAACCGAAATTAAACGGCTAATGAGTGTAACATAAACAGCTGAACGGTTTGTGAACTAACGTCCCACTGTTTAAGCTTTTTTTCCTTTTTTTTTTTTTTTTCCTTTTCTTCCTTTCCTTCCCCCTCCTTTTTCTATTCTGGAACTCCAAGTTCTTGATGATTCCACTTTCACTGCAGAGAGACCGTGTTGACTCAGACTTAAAATGTTAGTTTTAATATAGCTCTGCACTGCTGATGACTCCAGATACATTTATGAGCATTAGCCAACAAAGCAAACCAGAGTCTAGCCCAAACAAATGGGGATGAAAGGAGGCCTTTGATCCGCGGCCGACCGGAGTGACTTCAGCACTTCAGCTCGATTGTTTTCAGCTGAGGTTTCTCCGGGTGGCTTCGCTTCCAGCCAGAAGTGAGGCTGCCAGCGCGGGATTCACCCGGGGGATTTAAGAACCGCAAAGTTGTTTTACGGAGAACTCGCAGGCTCTCGGAGACGGCGCTCCGCGGCCGTCCGTTGGTTTTTTTTTTTTTCTTTTTTTGTGATATGGCGTGGCCAGGTCTCCGACTCCGCATCTCCCAGTGAAATGTGCGCCGTCGCTGTGGGCCTGCGCGCCCTGTCATTTCACACAATTACCCGTGCCTCCCGGAGCTTTCCGCCGAGGCGACGGCGGGCCACATTCCATCTGATCATAGTTGTGTCTGACGTTTCAAAGAGGATTATGAGAATGAAATGTGATAAAAAAAACTATTTTCACGTGACCTCTGAGCACTTGACCTCTTGATAGGCGAGAGAGAGAGAGAGAGAGAGAGAGAGAGAGAGAGAGAGAGAGAGAGAGAGAGAGAGAGAGAGAGAGAGAGAGAGAGAGAGAGAGAGTGGCGCGGCCTGGCTCAGACGGCTCGTTTTCCAAAGCAGCCGGACCGAGAAGGAAAAGGAAAATTGCGGCGGGGGCGAGAGGAGGAAAGAGAAAAAGGAAAATCAGATCAGCAGCTTAATTCGGAGATCAAAACAGGCACTGGAAATTAACGTGTTCTCTCATGCCAAAACATGAAATCATCAATGGTTGTCTAACTTTACATGGCCGTGCTGAAGCACTCATACTTTTTTCCCCCTGGTTTTGTTGCACGGCAGCCATAAACTCTAATGCTGTTTATTGGCTTTTTAAGTTATAGACCAACAAAACGAGCTGCAGAATTTATCATGTGTTTCTATGTTTTTTACAAAATTTGAAAAAGTGTGGTTTGTATTTGCATTCAACCCCCCCTGAGTCTCAGATTGGACAGGCTGTGTGCTGTGAGCAGCAGTTTTCATGTTATTTCAGGTTGGACTTTGACTGGGCCATTCTAAAACATGAACATCCTTTGATCTAACTACCATCCCATCTCAGGTCAGGCTGTGTGTTCAGGGAGTGTTGTCCTGCTGGAAGGCGAATCTGCTCCAGTCTTAAGTCCAAACGGTTTCGTTCCAGGCCTGCGTTCAGCTCCTCCCAGCTCCCAACTTTCCAGCAACTTAATCCAGCAGCAGGTTTCACAGTAGGGAAAGTGTGTTTATGGTGATGTGAATTGTTAGCTTTCTGCCATGACTTGTAGGTAAATAATAATAATAATAATAGTCTCATCTGACCAAAACACCTTAATTTGCTACAAAACCATTTCAAACTTGATAGTTCTCTTTTAATGTGGGCTTTAGTCCTTACACTTTTTAATAAAGGTCAGTTTTGGAGAGTGAAGGATAAACAGTTTTGCAGCTGATAAATCCTCCCCACTGAACTGTGGATCTCTGAAGCTTACCAGAGGCCTGTTGGCTTCTTATTCTGACTAACGCTCTGTTTGTCCAGCATGGGTGCCATTTATGTGTAATAAAATGAATACTGCTCAAGAGATGAAAAATGACTGAGGTACTATTTTGAAAGCTAGCACTGAAACCAACCCACAGCCTTTATATTTGACCTGCCTGTTGTGATTTTTGTTCGCTAGCTGTTAAGAAGCAGTAACTTTTCCTCAGATCTCCATTTTAGTTCTCGAGTGTGTAAGCGAACGTTCGGCGTGTGTGGGTGCAATGTTTGCTCCGTTGTGGGTGCATCGTTTGTGGCAGCCATCTTGTGTCCCTATTAAGATGGCAGGGGCATCTTAGCAGGGGCACAAGATGTGTGAGTCTAATGCATCAGATGACTTCACAGATCAGCAGCTTGTAGACTACAGATTAAATTGCACAATTTGATTTACTTTCTAGAAACCCTCTAAAGCTCACACGTCAAACTCAAGGTTTGGGGGCCAAATCTGACCTGCCGTAAGGTTTATAAATAGACCCTTCAAGCTAACAGTTGTGCACTTACCATTGGGGCATCAATCAAATCAAAGTATTTTTTTTTTGCATGCTGCCAAGTAACATGAAAGATGTTTATGATTTAATTTTAAGAAGTGGTCATTGAATTCAGAGAAAACTGCTAATATTTTGACAGTCTGCTGATAGGTAACTTTATCAATGCATCCTGCCACCACCAGACATTTGTGAGAACATTTGCGATCTTGATTAAAGTGAATCTCTAAGGCGATTTTTTGCACTGGAATTTATTTAGGGGTATCAGATTAAGTGGACTTGATAATAAATCAATAATAATATCTATCACAATAGACACACAGTCAATAATTACTAAGTTTGATAGAACATTCTTATATTTCCTAAAATAATGACACTAGTCATTTTTTTTTTTTTTTTTTTTTTTGGGCCAAAACATCATTTGGGTTACAACAAAAAAGCTTTTGGTAAAACATGACTTAGGCAGTTATTTTAGGAAAGTGATAATATATAGAACACTCACTGAACTGCATTCTGGGGGATGTACACAGAGGAATGGCTTTAGCCACTCAACTCGCTCAACATGGTTGCTGCCATCAAGTAACTCACTCAGTCTTTACCTCGGAACAACCCACTGAGTAACATGCGCATCATCACTTTAAGGTTTCACCAACGTGCCTCAAAACTGCTTAAAAATGACAACAAAACAGCGTGGAGTGAAATCTGTGGATTAAACAGGAAAGGTCACACCACCAGCTGGGCAGTATCTCAGATCAAAAAATAAAAAATAAAAAAATCAATAATTATCAATATCCACTGATATGGAACGCTTGTAGCCCCGATAAAAATAAATAAATAAAAAAAATTAACATTTTTGTTCCGATTCCTTGTGTTGGTCTGTCACATGCAATCCCAGCAAAACACACTGCAGCCCGTTGCAACGTGAAGAAACTGCGGACAATTTCGAGAAGTATAAATAGTTTAACGTGGCCCAGTACCACAGGAAAATCCATTTGGTAACATGGAGCAGAAGTTCATTTTCATTTAAAAATAAAATTAAGAGCAAGAAGCCATTAAATGCCCCCACGCTCACACTGTCTGTCTCACCAGCCCCGTCTCTGTTAAAATATTATTGTGTACTTGTTACTTGTGGCCAACATAAACAGCCTTATGCGCTCGAGCATGTTGACAAAGCAGCCACATGGCCCATTGGCGGCTGATGGATGGCCGTGTGTGCTGTGCTAATTATTAGTACACATAAAAGGATGCTGTTATTTCCAGACCAGGACCCAACCAGAGGGGTCAGCGGGTAAATACAGAGCCATCAGTCTGCAGCTATATCGCTCTATCTTGATGTATGAGCACAGAGGTATAAATTAAAGGCGCAGCGACCTTGCTGGGGGTGCCACGCTCAACAGGACGCCATTTGGGCTAATTCTGTGTACAAGCTTCAAACAATAACCCACTATAGCACAGGGAGTAATTACTTTCTACACGCGCGCGCGCACACACATCTGGATTTAGGCTCCCAGAGGAAGTTAACACAGTTAAAAAACAGAGGCCAGCTGTAATAGATGGGCAGAATTTAGCATGTGAAGGTAGAACAAGTGGATGGGACATGCTGGCTTCAGCTCACTGCAGTTCGTGAACTTCTCAAAATGAATTGCTGACATCAAAAACCAAACCAAACAGAATGTAAACGTTCTCTTTCAGCATGCATATCGATTTAGCGTCCACGCTCGCAGACTTCCCTCTCCGACTTTCATTGATGACATTAAGGCCGTAATTCCTGCACCTTATCTTCCTCCATCCGGCTTGACAAACAGATGCGAGTCAGGCTGCGTCTGGACTTTACAGCAACTCGATTTGCTCTGCTGGCATGTGTTGCAGAGTGCATGCAACGTGTGTCTGCCAAAACAGGTCCTACACGAACGTCAGCTCTTTGGACTGACATTGATGTCGATCCTCAGATTGCAACCTGCAGTTGCTGAGATTCGACTGCAGGTTGGCACAGAGACACAGAAAGAAACTGCAGCACGGACAAAAAAAATCCACAACATTTTTGAACGGCTGCTTCTGAAAAGTGAGGTTCGCGGTCTTTCTAATTCATGCGTTGGCCTGGTTTCATCAGGCACAGGTACAGATGCACCAGTCATTCAGTGGAGATCGGAACTGGACGATTTTCCGTTGATTCATTTTGATTCTGAAAGATTTGATTTCCCCACCTGATTCATTAAATGAATTGAAAACACCAACAAACTGAGCACTCCTTCCATACTCGCTCTAGCATCGATTTCAATGTGCTTTTTTTAAGTTTTATTAAATAAAATAAGATAGGAACATATGTTTTCATACATAGATAAGAGTATTCTTATAATTCCTTCATTTTCTATTGGATTTAAAACAAATACATCGATAAAAAAATAATCAGGGTAAGCATTTAGGAAACCGGTAACAGCCAGGAAAGGTCTGATTGCACTCCAAGTTACAACGCATTCTTCTCCACAAAGTCAGATATTTCTGAATGGTAGAAAAAAAATAATAATTATTTCAAAAACTCAAGTACAAATATTTATAGCTTTATTGATATTTTACTCGTACAAGATGTACATTCATATTTTTGTGAATCAAAAAGGGGTGGAAACAAAAACAGCTGTACGATGACTCATGTATAGGCATGCTTGCGTATGAAATGAAAATCATTTGAATGGGTACAACAAATTCCATGGCGAATTGTTTTAGTCCAACCGTCCCTGAAATCTTTGTAAACTCAGACACGCTACATTACCGGTTTGATTTTTTTTGTTTGTTTGTTTTTTTTTATGCTTTTTCTTTTTTTCTTTTTTTTAGGCAAACAATGCATTACACCTCCTAATTCAAATTCAACACTTAAAAAAAAATACAAAAATAAATGCAAAGCCATGTAAAAATGTACACTTGTAGTTCAGCTATTTCATCTTTCCATAAAACTTTCAGACAAAAGTAATAAATAAAATAAAACACCCATAGGTTTAATTTAAAATGGAGACATAGATAAACATTTCTAAATGGAGGTCTGGAAATGTAGAAAATGTTTGGAGGTATACATAGATCTGAAAATGATCTACATATTTAGTGCTGCAGTGTTATTTTTCTAAAAAAAAAAAATCTTTGAATTTAATTTTGATTTTGTTTTGTTTAAAACAGTTAAAAATAGTCTGAATAATCTGGGAAGGTTTGATTTTTACAACAAAAACAAAATACATGCAAAATGAAGCTAATTATTCTAAAAACAAAGACCTGCTTTGAGTTGCAAGCCTGATTTGATTTGTTCATAATTTAGTATAAGTTAGTTTTTGTTTTCCTTTTGTTTCTGCAGCATCCGAAAACTGTGCTCATGTCTTCCCAGACAGATGTGCCCCTTGAAACAAAATGTCTGAATACGTGTGGATCATGTGGGATTATGGCACCTGATTGAATTTTCTTGATAGAAATAAAACACGCACTGGCGTTAAAAATCTGCTTTCCACCAGCGCATGGAAAACGACCGAAAACCCAAAAGAGAAAAAAAGTTTCTTCATCATCGAGGATTAACTTCTAGCTGTTTTAACTTTCGTTTTGTTTTTTCTGTTTTTTGCTATTTACAGTATTGCACTTAAACTGCACACAATTGCATTTCAGTTTGACTGATGCTTTCTTCATATTTTTCAGAATTACAAAAAAGCAGAACACAAAAAGGAATCCCCGTTATACCCTTTGCTCGTCGTGGTGATATCAAAACCCTCCCCCCCCGTCCCTCTTTAATTAGTAAAGTAGTATCTGCTTGTAGTGCCATTTGTAAACACCCTCGTACAAGACCTGAAGTGCAAAGGCTATCTTCACTTCTTTTTCCCAAGATACAACACAACAAGAAGGAAATAAAGACAGAGAGAGAGAGCGCACCGTGAGGAGGAACTGAACCCGAGTCCGGCCATCACAAGTCCAGCATCGCACGACAACGTCTCTTCCCCCTCCCGAAGCGAAGCGTCAAAAAAAAAATAATAATAATATATAGAAAACTGTTGCGTTTGTTACAACACAAGTCCACGAGAAGAGCGACGTTGGATTGGGATGGAGACCTTTGACTTTGACCGTTGCGGGGGGGCGAGGTGTGGGGTGTTGCTGAACGGCAGTGTTAAAAAACAGCTGTTGAGAAGTTGCGTCAGGTGGGAGATGGGGGACCGGTCCTCCATTTAGAGCTCATGCACTCTGCAGCAGCAGCGGACACAGTGGTTGGAGACAAATATGGCCTTTTTTTTTTTTTTTTTTCTGTTTTTTCTTCTTTAAACTACTGAGCGGGGTGGAAAGGTGAAAGCCATTCCAAAGCTTTGGTGAGGTGATGTGTGGGCCTCCCCCCCCCTCTTACCCCTCTCCTCCTAACCCTCTTTTCTCCTTCTCTACCCCAAAAAAAAAAAATAGCTCAGCCCCTCTGCATGTCAAAAGAGACGGCAGCCAGCGGCAGTGAGTCTCTGCTCTCGACCCTGCCAGTTTGCTTTGTTCTAACGTCCTCTGGTCTGACGGGGGGCCCCCCTCCCCGGCCTGGCCCTCAGACAGACATCCACATGTGTTTGTACGGTCCTTGGGATGTGATCTGTGCCTGGAGTGGACTGAGCCACTGGCCCCGCAGAAGTCCTGCCTGTTGGGCGAAAAGTAAAAGGTGATTTCACTGGTATTTAATTACCGTTCTCTACAAGTGGTTTGTTTTGGCAGCTGGTTTTGTGACAATTTTCCCTCCTCCTCCTCCTTCTGCTTTATTTTCTTCCTCCACTGTTCCCTCCCCTCCCACCTTCCACACACACTCCCCTTCTCTCTGTCTGTCTCTCTCTCTCTCTCTGTATGTGTTCCTCTCTTTCATTCTCACTCAGTGTTTTTGTTTTAGTTTTAGTTTTAGCTCGTGAGTGTCACGGCCCAGTTTCACAGGCCCAGTCTTGTGTGAGAGGCGATTATGGGCATCAGGCGAGCGGAGGGGCAGCCCGGTGGGGGTCAGAGTCCCAGAGCCTCGGTGTGTTTTCTTGCCTTGAGTCGCAGGTCGGCGATGCTGGAGTTCTTGCTGTTGCTTTTGGCGGCCGCCGCCACCGCCGCCGCCGCGGAGGCCGAGTCGGCGAGGGACGCGATCGGTAGTCCGAAGGGAGGGGGCGGGAACATCAGGTAGGGGGCGTGGGCGGCCAGGTGAGGGTGCAGGTGAGGATGGGAGTGGGTGACTCCGTCCAGCTGTAGCTGTGCTTGAACCTGCAGAAGGAGCAGAAACAGGGAGTTTAGTCAGCATGTGTGCAGAAAGGAGCGGAGGATTTAGGTTTCACAGTCTGACGCTATTAAGCTCCCCCTCAAAGCTGTTGCTTACGGTATGTTTTCTAAGAAAATAGCTGAGGGCCACAGTCGACACTTTAGCCCTTTCTTCATGTCAGCTATTCTAAAAGTTAATGAATCATACATTGCTCTCAGACACCACATCCAATTTAATCGCCAGGAATCAAAGTATTTCCACAACCCCAGAACAGATCTCTTTAACTCTGCAACACACGGGCTTGTTACTCTGATTATGTATTCGATTGCATAAATAAACAACTTTTGCATTAAAAAGACATTTGCACATTTGGAGTTATAAATATTTATTCAGACATATCCCTGAGTCAAGCAGAAAAAAAAAAAAGAGAGAGCGAAATGAACCAGAAACCATAAGGAGCATAGGATATCAATTTTCACATTCTTGGCAATTATTTTATAAGAAGTAGGTGAAAATTAAGCATCAGCGAACTTCAGAGGGGGAGAGCTGAGCCCTGTTGCCATTTCTCGTGTGTTTCAAGCACCACAGGGAAAAAAAAAAAAAAAACAGGAAAGAAAGAAGAGAAAAAAAGAAAGAAAGAAGGAAAGGGAGAAGGAGAGAAGTAAGGAAAGAAAGAAAAGGGGGAAAGAGTCACTAGTGCAGCTCACACTTTATTCTCCAACCAAAATAGAATTAGCCAACGCAAAGGCGAAAGTTTTTTTAACTCGAACTAAATATTTATTTTTCACTTTGCTTCCTTTCAACTTGGCACGCCAAATACCAAAAAATTGCTGCCGTTAAAGGCAAATGAAAGGGAAAACGAGTCTGAACCACAAACGCGCTCTGCTGAAGGCATCCCAAACAAAAGCAGCTGCAGACAACAAAACTCGCCCCAACAAATGTACTTGTGAAGCAGGGATGGGAAATTTTGATCAGTGATTGTGGTAAAATAATAATAATAATAATAAAATAAATAAAACTTTCATTGTGAAAACAATAAGCATTAATGATCTTTGAAAAAAGTGAGGATTGCTAAGATCCCTGAGTTTCCATGACTGTATACATAATTTGAAAATATGACTTAATGTAATTATTATGTGTTTTTAGTGGTGAAATTAATGTAACTGTTGTGCTTAAGCAGCTGCAGTTATGATTCCTACCTGGAGAGGATTTATATGGTAAGCTATATTTTTATTTGGTTGACATGATTCTCCTGACTAAAAGTAAGGCAACAATACTATCAATGTCTTGAATCTGATTGGGAATATGTGTAAATAGCTAAAAAATTAGGGTTATGGGAAAGAGGATTTCCAAATTCAAAGACTCTGAGCTCATCAACAAAGAGAAATCATCGAAATGACACAGAAAAAAACTCTGGGTACCAATTATGTGTTTGATTGCTGCAATGCAAAGGAGAATTTCTTCTTCTTTTTTTTAAATAAAATCAAAATACAAATAAACACTTGTTTTTAAAAATGGAGGCATTTCCCAATAGGAAACCAACTTCTTGGTTGAATAAAAATATCAAAATCTGGCAGGGCCTGATCATAATTTTGGGGCCTAACAGCAACTGACATTAGTCAAGTTTCACTTTTAGAGTTTGTATACGAGTCTGTAGCTGTACCACTAATTAAAACAATGAACCTATAAATGCTGTGAATCATTGCTTTTATTATACTTCCCATATATGCAACACAAGTGAAACGTCAGGTCCATGTCGCCCATGCACAGACTTCCAAATGTAATGCTGCAACACCTACTGAAACCATATTTAAGAAAACTCTACTTTCAATCTTTGTGTGCCTTTTGTGAAATACACCAATCGCACATTTGTAATTTAACACACAAAGCACGCAATGAGGACCTTTTTTCGGAAAGCTAAGGTAATGAGGATCTACCTCAGACCTTCGCCCCTGCATCTGTGCACGCCCACAGTTGGTTTCAGCCTCACGCGGCGTGCCTCTCTCAGTATGCAGGCCTCCGAGCCTCCGCCCCTGCCAACGCAGCTCAACGCCAATATCCATCAGAGCCCACTCCATTCCCCCCGCTTTCATCATCCCCCTTTTATGTGCTCAGGCCTGCCGCACTGTTGGCTTAATTAGGCCGCAGCTTTTCACGAGGGTCAAGCAGACAACACAGCAGCTCGGATGCAGAACCACGGCAGCGCCTGATCAGAGGAGTGTCCACTCCTCCTCACCGCTCTCTCTCTTCACGAGAGGAGATGGTGGGAGGTGAAAGGTGCACAAATTCTGATGCGATGATGCCTCTCCGTTCAGCATGAAGCAGCTGCATATATGCATGTTTATATGTAAAGTGCAGAAGGTCTACTTCTCCACGTACTTCAAGGCATGGGCTGGTGTGTGAGATTCTTGCAATATGATATAACCTTGAGTAAAAAAAAAAACGCCACAGTTTCATGGCTGCAGGGGAAAATTTTAAAACAGAGAATTCTAGCTTAAAAAAAATTATTTGAACAGAAAAAATGTATAAAAATAAACAATTTTCCTATTGACTTTTACAGATATAATGTAGCGTATTTTGTGCTATTTTTATTCACAGAATTGGGTGATTATTTAAAATAATCTCCCTGCTAATTTAGATGACTCAAACAGCTCACTGGACAAAGTTTAACCGTTTTGCTGTTTTGATCTTTACAGAGGACCACAAATGTCACCAGCTACTGACTGTGCTCTTCATAATGGGAAATGTTTCCAAATTTCTCTCTTTATAGGAGGCTTCTTTCAGCCATCTGAGCAGCAGTGTGCAGCAACAGGTGTTGCAGGAGGAACATTGTTTACTCCACACCTCACAGAGTTGGAGAAGACCCAGGTCGCTCCAGCATTTTCCAATTAAAAGCACTTTGAACAACAGGATGTTGGAAAATGTCTGCGGTTTTGAAATTGTAGCTTTCTGCAAACCTCTAAACCAGCAACCAGACCTCGCCTAATTTCCTTTTAAATATCAACGCGCATAAACACCACGCAAACGACAATTCCCATCCTAACGTCTTTTTAAAAGGAAGCCCCTCCACATTTGCAAATTGCACAGCAGTAAGTGTTTCTTTTATCATTATTCGATCCAGCCTCAGCTCACACACTCCCTGAATGATTCGTCAGCCACGTTCTGAATCTTGAAAGCATGGCCTACCTGTTGGAAGGGCATCCGCAGGGCGCCCATGTTGACGTAGGGTGCCACTCTGCAGGCGTCCAGGTGACTGCCGCTGCCCAGAATCACACCTGGGGAGAAGGGAAAGATGTCTGTCAGACAGCCAGACAGTTGTTGTTATGTGAGATGAGGAGGTCACAAATTTTTGCACATTAATATATACAAAGAATAAAAGTCTTGAATCACAAGCAGTATTTAAAAAAAATAGTAATAAATTCTTAACTGAATAATAACATGTGGAGAATATGGCTGAAATAGCTGAGAGGTGTTGGAGGTTTTATTTACCTTTGTGCATTTGGTTTTCTTGTTTTCGACATTTCGCTCTTCTGTTCTGGAACCAGACCTGCAAGAAGAGGAGAAGAGGAGAATATTTGGTTTAATATTTGGTTGTCACATTTATTCCACTTCGATTGTTAACAGACCACCTATGTGAGTAAGAAGAAAAGGAGGGATAACAGTACACCTTAGCCAAATGTAGCAAAAATGTAAACAATGGCACATGACAAAATGTAGAATGTTTACTGGTTTATGACTTTGTATTTTTGTGTTTTTATGATGTAAAGCACTTTGAACTGTCTTGAAGCTCAAATGTGCTGTACAAGTGACCTTGATTGATCAATTGTTTGACTAATTAAACATGAAAGATATTTGAATTCTGAAAATAAAATTAAAACCAGATAGAAAAAAAAACAACAACAAAAATTTCTAGGACAGCTAATTAAATGAAGAGGAAAAAAATGACAAGGGAATGACAAGAAGATTAAAAATCTAAGACGCCACAATCACACAACTGAATAATGACAATAATACAAATAAATAAATAAATCACAGTGATGACGTGTCGTCAGCCATCTCCCCAGCCTGTCTTTTAAAGCTGCGGGCTACGTGCGGGCCTGCGTTGTTAATCGCCATCGACTTAATTTTCCCTCGTTGAATAACATTATCTCCCCTCCCCTTCGACCCCCGCGACGATTATCATTTACAGATGCGAAATTAGCGGGTCGGTCCGCGCGGGCGGCAGGCTTGGTGATGACGACTCGCAGTCAGGGCGCCGCCGGCCCGATTCCAGCTGCGCGACGCGGCCGCGTGCGGGCATGGGTGTTGCTGCAGCAACGGGGGAGGGGATGACGGGTGGGGGGATGGAGGGAGGGAAGGAGGGAAGGGAGGGAGGGAAGGGAAGGAGGGAAGGAGGGGGGACAGTCGATAAACGGGGCCATTAGTGACGGAGGGAAGAAAAATGGCTTGAACATAAAAACTGTTGCCTTAAAAATACATCTTGGAATATTTTCCGGGAAATACAAATAAATAAATAATTATTATATTATATTATATTATATTATATTATATTATATTATATTATATTATATTATATTATATTATAATTTAGACTGTGGTGTGTGAGAGAGGAAGGGAGTGTGTGTGCGTGTGTGTGTGTGTGTGTGTGTAATCAGCTCTTCAGCGGTACAGACGTGTTTATCAGTATCCCAGGTGATTTTTTTTTTTTTTTTTTTTTGCATCCACGCAGCAGCCCTCCTTCAGATAAATCAAGGCTCATATTAAGACGGGGCCCCGGATCAATTCCAATTACGCGCCAGTATGTTAAGCAAAGTGAACTACACTGGTTCAGACAGTTATTTCTTCATTAAGGGCCACTCAATGATGCGCTTCACAAATACCCTAATCTCATTTCCCTTTTGATTTTTTATTAGAGACAGTGAATAATGACATTTAATTTAGCGGCGCGCCAGAAAACCCAGAGATATTAGTCCTAACCGAATTACTGCCTGCTCCTCACCAAGCTCTCATAACTTTCAATTAGATTCATTGACAGCTGCTCGGAGCGCAGGTTCACAGCCGATACAACGACCCTTGCTGCACGACACCGTGGAAAAACACGTCAGAGCGCACTAAAGAGTAAAATTAATAAAAAATAGATAACAGAGCGAGAAGAGAAAAAGGGGGCTTTCTGAGACTTTTCCAGGGCGAATTCTGTGCGCTTAATCCACCTGATCTGAACTGGCGAGGGGTGGGGAAAAAAATACAACAACAAAAACACTAAGACTGCTGTGACTTTGCAAACCGCACGCACGCCGTAAATTATTGTAATGAACACACTGTATTAGCTGGGCCGGCAGCTTCGCCCTCCCCCCTCCCCGTCCTCCCCGAAACGCGCTGTCAACTGCGGTCCGACAGTGTTCAGCTGCAGAAGTGGCGCAGTCGGCGCGCTCATAAAGCCCTGCGACGGGGCTTATTCATCCGATTAGATGGATCTGAACAGCAGCAGAGTTGCTTCCACAATCGAGTTATTTCTAATCTGTTTTTATGGGGACACTGCATCAAAGCCGGTGGCAGATATTGCAAAGAAAATGAGGAGGGATACGAGTTGACATAAGAGCGCGTCCCTTGAAGCGGCCATTCAGGCTCTTCATTCATTTTAATCATTGTTGGGGAGTTTTTTTTATTTGTATTATTATTATTATTACTAGTATTATTTTTTTTCCCCTCTCCATTCCCTCCAACACTCTGCAGGCCTCCCGCTGTGAGTTCAGCAGAGCTTCTCACTTCCTGGCTCATTCTCAGCAAATCATGCTGCTTTGATAAGACAAACTGCAACCAATGAACCACCTATAAGGATAAATTAATATTTCTAGTAACTGCAGAGGACGAAAGCTTTAAAATATATATATATATAAATAAATAAATAAATAAATAAAAGATGCACGTCTAAATATTTCCAAATCGTTTAATTTCCTGCCTGTATGGGACTTTATCCTAAGGGTTGCATGTAGTATTATAACTGACAGGGATGGTGTAGTTTACTTGTTCTGACATTAGTTTATACCAATTACTGGGGATAGACGTGTGAGTAATAAACAGCTCTTTATTAAATAACATGGGAATGTCTTAAAAAAAACATGCAGGTAGCTTTCAATTTTTTTTTACATTTTACATTTAATGGTCGCATCTTCTTAAAAAAAAAATAAATAAATAAATAAACAAGCACATATTATGTCCAATTAACTTTAAAAAGACGTCGACGTTACCTTCCATGTCAATAACGAGAAGGGGGGTTGAAAATGAAACAGATGTCTACGTTTAGCTGAAATTAGCTTAGCTTCAATCCCTCGTTATTTAGGCTGAGTTTGAACCGAACAGCTACGAAGCTAAACATTGTTTAAGCTAACGAAGGAGACGAAGAAGAACGTGCTAACGCGAAATGACGTCGTTAGAGCGCCTCATTAATTATTATTACTATTACTACTATAAAAAATAATAAGAAAAATAATAAATAAAAAAAGTAAAAGAAAGAAAGAAAGAAAGAAAGAAAGAAAGAAAGAAAGAAAGAAAGAAAGAAAGAAAGAAAGAAAGAAAGAAAGAAAAAGAAAGAAAGACAGGAAGGAAGAAAGAAAGAAAGACAGGAAGGAAGAAAGAAAGAAAACTGTTTTCTAGAAAAAAATTAATTGAAACGTTTTCATTTTTGCTACATTTTCCCCCCGAGTTTTATTTAGGCGAATTAATACCAAAAGCTGACTTCGGGTTTTGCATTTCCTGTGTGGCAGTTGAACGATTGTCATTGAAGTGCACACAGATTTTCATAGCACGATCAACAAGAGCTTGCAGCAGTGGTGGCCATGATGTTGAGAGGAAATCGACTCTTTTTTTCCCTTTTGGTCACATGCATGAGGGTCACATGCATGTGGATTTATTTTATTTATTTATGTATTTATTCTTAAATAAAAGAAACCATGGTTCCTCCTCACCTGCACCCTGGCCTCAGACAGCCCCAGCCTCTGGCTCAGCTCCTCTCTCATGAACGCGTCCGGGTAGTGCGTCTCGTCGAAGAGCCGCTCCAGCTCGTTGAGCTGCTCCAGGGTAAAGTTAGTGCGGCTCCGCCTCTGCTTCAGTTTGCCCTGCGCGTCCTCGTCCTCGGACTTCACGTCGTCCTTCTTCTCTTTGCACTCGTAGATCCCTGTTGGGGAAAGATGCGGTGGGTCGGAGAGAGGAGGAGGACAGCTGAGTGGGGTTTTTAATCACAAAACACACACGTTAAAAGCCACGTAGACTTTCCCCAATATTGGGTGCCATATCCAGCCTAAACAATGGGTGGGGAGGGCATCAGGCCTTATAGGCCTGAAAGTTTGACACCGTGCAGCATAAAAAAAAAAGAAAACACGAACCAGCCTGAATCCTTGAGGAATGAGGCCTGTGGCTGCATCTCCAGCCTCCATTAGGCAGTGTGTGTCTGTGTGTGTGTGTGTGTGTAATATCAGTGACATGTAAATCAGTCACATGGCCAAGAGAGCGAGTTAAACAAGAGGGTTACATTAAGACCATGGGAAGAAGTCTAAATACTCACCCCTGTAAAATCAGATTTAGAAACAAACAAGCAAACAAAAAAGTAATTCTGACATCAGCCCGAAAAGCTGCCTCAGTTTAGCCTTTCTTCCTTCACAGTGAAGTCACTGCTTCTACTATTAATAGTAGCACAGATGTCAGCTGTTTGAATAACCGATCTGCTCAGTGGCAGCTTTTTTTTTTTCTTTTCCTTTTTTCTTTCTTTTTTCTTTTTTGCAGGTTGTATTTCCCTGGCGTGAAACTGTTCCGTCCTCAGACTGAACGCTAATTGATTTACATAAAGTTTCATTAAGTGAAATGAAATCCCCCTTCCTTCATCTCCGATGGCAACGAGGTGCAGAGCAACAGAGGAGAGAAGCTAATCCTTAAAATAATAATGATAATTTTTTTAAAAAATTGTAAAAACTGTCCACTGAATGTTTGGGACCGATGCACACTCTCTGTCTCAGCTGCTGATCTCCAGAGGACCAAAGCTGCCACAGACATTTGAACTTATTATCTTTTCTTTTTTTTTTTTTGAATTTCCAATGAAGATATTTTACTTTACGACCAATGACAAACTACTCGTGATTTCGCTGGGAGCTGCAGAAAAATGAATGGAGAGCGTTCAAGAGCGCGGACGATGAGATCAGGACGTGAAGTCAACGCCGTGATAAAATTACAAGTGAAGTTTTTTGGGGGTTTTTATTTGCAGTCATGTAAAAATGTAACCGAGAATATTGATATTGCATGCAAATAAAAATTCAGTAGGCCTATACGAAAAGAAAAAAAAACATTCCGCATATTATTGCAAAAAAATGCAGTTTCTCTTTATTATTATTATTATTATTATTATTATTATTATTATTATTATTACAACTAAAGACTCCATTTTTTAATTTTAATTTATACCTTGAACTACTTCAGACGCATTACTGAACAGATAACACAGACGACTGGAGTCATCAATTTTTCTTCTTTTAATAAAAATGATGTGTGAAAACATGAAATAGTTAAAGCGCTGCTCAAACGAAAAGCCCGCCTCCTGCTGTGTGCCATAATCTCCGAACAAGGTTTTAACTTTCCTTCCAATAAACTCGCTCAAATCCGAATTTAAATTCGTTTTTTTTTTCAGTTTTTCTTTTAGCGCCCTTGATTCTGATTGTTATTCCTTTCGATGCAAAAAAACAACAACAACAAAACAAACAAACAGAAGGACGTGGATATATTTCTCCGACACAACGCGGCTTCTTTCCCCCTTTCTTCTTCTTGTTCTTCTTCATTTTTTTTAAGCAAAGAAAAAAACTCAGATGAAAAAAAAAACTAATCTAAACAAAAAGGCTCACCCTCAGTCGCCCTGGAAACATTAAAGTCCTTCAGTTTCTCCTTCTCCAGCTCCACGTGGTCCTTGTAGAGGTGCACCGGGCAGTGGCTGGCGTCCGTAATGTCCTGCAGGTTCGTCTCCGGGCTGCCCAGCTCCCGCGCCCGCGTCAAGCCGCTCTCCAAAACTTCCCTGTACGTGATGCTCTCCTTGCTGCTCTCCTTGCTCTTCTGATCGAAAGACTTCGACACGAATGCCGTAAGTTCTTCCATGGTCGCTCGCCTCTCTGCCGCTCGGTAGTGCTCCTGTTTTTGTGTTTTTTTTTTTGTCGTTGCGATTTTTCGTCGTTCTTTCTCTTCGTCTTGTCTTGTCCGTGTCTTGTAGAGGGTGAAATAAAAAATAATAATGATTTAAAAAAAAAAAAAAAGTATCCACCGTGCAATCAATCGCTCGGTGTTGTTCTTCTTTGCACAGCCGCTGCTGCCGCTGCTGCTGCTGACGGCTCTGCGCTCTTTTTCTGCGGAGTCTGACAGCGGCGACAGGGATAGAAAGGGTGGAGAGGAGGTGAGATCACTCCTGCTGTTGTGGCTGTGTATTTGAGAGCTACACTATTTATACACGGCCACCTCAGCCCAGCCCCCCCACCACCACCCACACCCACTCTTTCCCTCCGATCTCTGTGTCTTGGGCAATTACAGGCCGCCTCTACTTTGCAGAATTCAACTTTCAGCAGCTTTGTCTTTTTTCTTTTTTTCTTTCCTTCTTTCTTCCTTTCTTTCTGTTTTTTAACCCCCTTCCTTCCTCCTTCCTCCTTTTTCTTCTTCTTCTTCTCTCACAAATCAATGACTGATGGAGGCGGTTAATTGAATTACGGGGTCATTAAAATGCTCACGGTGCCTCGCTCCTGCAGGAGGCTGCGTTATGGCTGTTACGTCTAATTAATTCAAAGAAAATGTAATCAAGGTGATTGGGAGACACAGACGCAGCGGATTGTTGAGTTGCCGCTCCGTTTCCTCGAGCTGATCAATTATTTTTGCCACCAAAGGCTCCCCACCCCCCCGCCCTTGCTCCCCTCCGAAGAAAACAATCACAAAAAAGAAAAATACATCAATGGAAAATGAAATATCTCCATGTTTATGGGAATGTAAACACTTTGCAACCAGAGGGAAAAAATGCACATGGCTCCTTTAAGATGTCAACAGATGTCAAACATTTCCTACCAGGGCAATGCTTATAATAATAATAATAATAATAATAATAATAATAATAATAATAATAATAATAATAATATAATAATAATAATAATAATAATAATATACAAAATATATTTTTATTTCGTGGAAATAAATCATATGAATGCAATAATCACTGTTTGGCTGTTATACGTCTAAACCAGCTTGTTTTTAGCATTTTCCCTTCGCGTTACAAATGTGAGGTAAAATAAAGAAATCAATAAATACCAGCAGTGACATTAAAATTATATAAATATATATGTCTCTCTCTACTTTACAGGATTTTCGTGGGGAATGAGCGCGAGCCCGTGGTGGCCTTGACGCTATATCTGAGTGGTTCATCCGTCCAGCGCGCAAAGAGGCACAAAAGGCCGGGAGAGGAGCGCGCTCCCCTGGGTCTGTCGCCCTGAGCGGCCCGCCGCGGTGAAGCCCTCATATCTCAGCTCTCTAATGACTCGGTGTGATGTCTCTCCATTTATCAGCGAGCCCCGCTTGCACTTCAGTGCGGGGCTGACGCACAAGGAGTCTCTCTCTCTCTCTCTTCTCTCTCTCTCTCTTTCTCTCTCTCTCTCTCTCTTTCTCTCTCCCTTGTGCCATGAACTGCGCCTTTTGTCGTTAATAGACCTAAATCCTCTTTAAGACGCAAATCTGCGCTCCTCCGGTCGTGTGCCGCGACATCGTTCCCTACAATAGAAGTGGCGCTCACAGGAGGCGTTTGAACTGAAATAATCCACGAATAGGGATTTTAAAAAAAATGCAACATGATGTAAAAGAAATGAAGCGGTTCTTTGTTTCTCTTTGTTCTTTAGTGATTGCTGCTTCGCAGACAAACCCAATTCCGTGCGAGAATCTCGGTCAGTTTTTTGTTTGGTTTTGTTTGTTTTGTTTTTTTTGGTAGGGTTTTTTTTTTTTTTTTTTTTCCCAAAAAGTGGTGCCCTTTATTTTTCTACTCCTCTAATAGTTTTCACAAAAAAAGTGCACTGATAAAACAAACGGTTAGAACTAAACCGGTGAATCTGGTGCAATAATTTGCAAAGGGCAGACAGGATCAGACGAGGAACCTTTACACAAAGTAAAATACTTTAAACAAAAGATTTTTTTATAGTGCTTTCTCATGCACTAAACTAAAATCAATAAACATCTAAAACTTTCCACTGTTATTTCTGAAATATGAGGTGCAGACATATATATATATATATATATATATATATATATATATATATATATATATATATATATATATATATATATATATATATATATATATATGTGATGTCTCTCCAATCATATATATATATATATAGGCCTATATCTACATAATATATATCCATATATATTATGTATATAATTTAATATATATAATATATATAATTTTTTTCTTTTTTTATATACCTTATAAAATCTCCAATCTTAGAAATTATTCACAGTGATATTCAGGAAGGTCAGTGGTACAAAGTGCATTTTTAGAACTGGTTATCTTTATTTTAATCCTGTATTTTGGACATTAGTTATTACATTAGTGAGCAAATTCAGTAAAATCAGGAATGAAAATGGGGGGGATAATAACACTGTACATGGAAAGTATAAATCCAGACATTTTCAGTACAAACTGTAGATATTAGCACAATTTTTCAGTGGAACTTTGTGTATAGTTGGTACATTGTTTTAAATGCACCCTGAACACTTCTTAACTTTGACAAGATTTAACCGTGACATTGCACTATGAATTGTACTTCCCTCAACAGTTTACTAAGCAAAAATCATGTGTTTTGTTCGTAGAAGTAACAATGCAAATTTATCAGCTGAAAGACGGGTAGACTTTTGTTGTTGTTGGTCAAATTACACAACTTTTTAAAACCTAATGTCCAACTTCATTTGTTCAATTCTATCAAACTTTTAAGGTCATGTGAAAAAGAAACAAACTTGACAGCTGGTTTGTCGTAGGATGTGTTGAAAGACAAAATGTGATTTTCATCAAGATCATCTGCCTCAGGCTTAGCTACTTAGCAAGTCTGACCACAGCATTAGCGCTACCGCTAAACTAGCTTAGCTTGGATACCAACACAGAAATGTTTTCTTTTGTCCCGTAACGTTTGCTACATGGAAATATTCATTCATGATATTTAAATATAACTGTCTTATACTGTTCTCTGCTCCACTATACAAAACAAACGATAATTTCTGTTTAACCTCAGTAAATGTGTTAAGCAAGGATTTTATTTTAGCTTAACGAAGTAGCTAAAATTTACGTTAGCATTAGCTGCCCTGCCAAACTAGCTAGCACCGGATAAAAACTTCAAATTTTGTCCCAACACAGAAATGATACATAGCATTTTTTTTTCTTTCTCACAACAGTCCTCATCAATTACTGAAAGTTGAAATAATAATTCACAGAATAACCCACGTAAAAATCCTCAAGTGATGAACGGCAACAGTTAGCATGTTGCTAACAAATTCAAGCTCCTAATTAAAATATTCAATTGAGACGTGGCGTCAAACTGACACGGTTAATGCATGTGGTTTTTCGCTGTGGTTGAATATCGCATTACAGATTAATATGCTGAATGAAATTCAAGTGATTTTTTTTATGTGAAAAACCCCCAAAAGATCCCTTTTTGCAGTGTAATTATCAGTTATTTCGGCAGAGCCCTCAACAACCAAGTTGCGCTGCAACCGAACTTTGCAGAATAACAAAAATAAAACATGTCGCCAGAAGGCCTGTAGCCTGTTTAATATGAACACAGCGCCCAATTCAAAGAAGACAAGCCACTGCATCCCTTCAATTTTTCACCAATACTACAGTCTGGTTTTGTGTTTTTTTTTTTCTTTCTTTTCTTTTTACAATACGTTTTCGCTCCTTATACGAGTGCTGCAGCTTCTTCGGCTTCTCTAAATATTTATCGCGTGTTCATACCGTCTCTCACAGGCACGAGGGATTTGTTGTCCAATGAGGAGCGGCCTGGAGGAAATATCACGAGAAATCCGTGAGAGATGCTCCTGACGTACCAGCGGCGCTGTCGCTACAGTTTAGTCGCCCCCCTCCTCCTCCTCCATCTCTTCCTCCTCCTCTTCCTCCACTCCCACCCCTCCAAAAATAAAAAGAAAAAAAAATTAACTCTTAAAGGGCCCTTTCTGCTTCAGGTGGTGTTTCATTACATTGCTTATTAACTTTTTTATTGAGAAAGTATTGTCATTTTTATTAATAAAGACAAAAAACGATTATAAATCAATAAATGTGAGCATTTATCTATGCTAAACAATGCTAATCTGTTCATTTCTGTTTCATTCAACTTGCATATTGAAACAATCTCATTTGTCACCTGCAGGTTGCTTTCTCCTTCCTCTCCAGGGTGTGACAAACACCTTCTTGTGTCACTCCCTTCTGATATTTCGTAATTAAAGAGTCCTGATGAGTCCCGCTTCTTCATTCCTGTTGGAGCCGACGGGAACGTCATCAAGACGTCAGCCGCCTGAAATGAGTCTGTGCTGGAGGAGGGGAGGGAAAAAAAAGAATCCCAGATTATGTGCAGTGTATCCCCCCCGTCTCCTTCCCCCCGCCCAGCTGATTATACATAAGATTTACACATCTGGGCAGGGGTTGTTATACTGTAAGGGCCAGACTTCAGAGCTGTTTGGAGCCTGTGGGATGGTTTGGATCCCTGAAGTCTGTCAGAATTCACATTGAGAAGAGCGAACACGCAGAGGGTCAGGGTCGCCCCGCTTTGGGGGGAGTGGGTGGAGGCACAAGTCCCCACTGAGGCGGAGGTCACAGCGTTGACCGGTTCACCTTGCAGGATTATAGCCCCTCATCTGTAAAGAGATAAATTACAATAAATGTAAATCTTGAATTTTTGGAGCGATGCAGAGAATTGTTCGAACGGGAACGATTTTGTAAATCCTTCACTCAAAATGATTTCTCCCCCAAAAATGTAATCTGTTCAATTTATTGGCTTCCTAATTGTGCTGTTGAGAATCATGTTAAAGACATTGAAAAACAGGTTTTTCAAACCAAAAGAAAAATAATAAATAAAATCATCTCTTTGAAGCACGGTTGAATAAATCCTTAACAGAAGACAGATGTGATAGTCCAAATGT